CCGCCCCGCCCCGCCCCGCCCGAGCCTTACACCTGATTGCCTCGCCCGTAATCTCTGCCCGCGAGCGCCTCCTCATGGAGGATCATTTTCTGGTCGAAATCGCCGAGTTGCGCGCTGTGCGGGGCGGAGATACTCTGCCCTGGGAGCTCGCCGCCGGCCTCTGCTCTGCCTTCCTCCTCCTCCTGCTTCCTTACCGTCTCTCTCTCTCTCTCTCAACCGCCTCTTCTCTCCTCCCCGCTGCCTCTCCCTCTTTTGCTCATCAGTGCGTGGTCGTGGTCTCCGCCGACCGGCCGGCTAACGGAGTGGCCCGCCAATAGTTGTTGCTGCTGCTGCTCCCCGGCTCGGCTCGGACGTGCGCGGGGATTTAAATGCACGACGTGTCTCTCCCGGCCGGCGCGTCCACCCTGCTGCGCCCCCGCTGCGCCCGCCCGAGCCCGCTGTTAATAAGCTCACACAGTCGGGCCTCGGGCCAGCCGGGTCGGATTCGCATGTGATTCCCCCTCCGACACTCTCCCCCTCGCTGCTGCTGCTGCTGACGCCACCTCAAACAGGAATGGGAAAAAAAGGACAACAACGTTGCCGTGCCGCTGCACACAAGCCGCCGTGTCGGTGTCGGGGGGTCCCCTATATACCGACGGTGTCCCCCGACCTACCCCACTTTCGCCCCCCTGCTGCAGCTGCAGCTGTGTGCTTTCCAATCCAATCGAATCCATCCCCTCGGTAAATCACAGACCGTGTCCCGCCCGCCCCGCCCCGTCCCGCCGCCACTGCTCTGATTTCTATGCCGATTATAAATGATGCAGGTACAAGTACACGGGACCGTACGCGCGCCGCGTGCTCGCCGGCCACACAGGCCATGGGCGGCCCAAGTAGTACAGTCCATGCTGTGTCGCCATGAGCTTGCCCCGCTGAGAGCCCCGCGCTGCCCGCGCCCATGGACCCGAGTCTGCTCTGGCTGTCCCCTCCTCTCCACTCCTCCTCCTCCCTCTGTACGTCGCGCACTTGATGAAGCCCGGATTGTCTTCCCCCCCTTTTTCACCCCGATGCACGTCATGAGTGTGTACGTCATCTCTTTTGGGGCTGCCGGTACGTCTGTACGGTGTACGCGATGCCTGCTGGGAAGGGACTTTCTTTCGGTGCACGCCGTACAACCAGCTTGTTGTTGTTGTTGTTCATGATGGTTATTGATGCCCGGGTTGACCGATGTCTTGCTGTCGTTCATGAAAGCCGTTGCTGGAGACGCTTTGCTTGTCAGAGCGACCGTCGGTTACGTGTGGGTTTTGTTTGTTTGGCTGTTGTTGTTTGATATGTATGGATAGTTTGATGGCGCAGAGCGGAGAAGGGCCTCTAAGGAGCGCAGGAAGGGAAGCCTGCTAGCTTAATGAGTCACTGACGACAGAAAGTGATGAGGAAAGTGATCGGGCCGAGGCTTAAGGATTGTGTTAGGGACTAGGGACGGCGGGTATGGTGGGTAGTAGCGATGTACAGTGTCGCAAGAAAATTATTTAAGAACACTTGACGACAAGAGTTGGACCATTCGGCAAATCGAAACGGTTGCTTGAGGAGGGTTCTGCTCTTCCTTGGGTGTAGACGAAAAGTATTTTACGACAACATACAAAAATGAAGTGTGCGTGTTGACAGCATTCTCATTTCTCAAATGAAATATGTGTTTCGCACTTGAGAGGTGTCTTTTTTCTCATTTGTACTACACCTTCGCCCGATGACAGCCGTGCTTCGCACTGCGACGCCGTGCGCTGACCGGATGGGCACGTGTAGGGCCTCCCGGGCCTCCCGCAGGGCCGTGTGCGCGGTGTGTGCGCCGCGGAGACGGGGAGAGGCGAGCGGACGGGCGCGGCGGGCGGGCGGGCGGGCCGGCCGCTGGGAGAGAGGGGGAGGAGAGAGAGAAGGGGCAGAGGGAGGGCGTACCTCCGCGTCCGCGCCGTGGTGCGGTGTGGCCCGCCCCGCCAGTGCCCGTCGCCCCTCGCCGCGGAGAGCACCGCCGCCGTGCAGCCGCGCGCAGGCCTGCCAGAGTGCGCAGCCGGCGAGTCGCGTGTCGTGTCGTAAACCGCGCACCCCGCGAGTCCGCCATAGTGTGTGTGTGAGAGAGAGAGAGACAGACAGAGCGTGTGTTGGTGTGAGTGAGTGCGGATTAATACGACGCCACTTTTGGATTTTGGAATAGCATTCACGGTTGGTAAATTTTTTTTAAAAAAAATTGAAGTATTTGTAATATTTTTGCGGAGAGTTGTGTACAACACCTCGTCGGCGTGAGCTTCGCACGCTACGTTTTTCATTCCAAAATCTTTTGTTTTGTTTTTGGAAAGCAAGGAAGGACGATGGGATGAAAGACAGGTGGATTTTTTTTCCGACGAGGTGCGCACACTTGTCCGAAGACGTGTGTTTTGCGAGCGCTCCAGATCCAGACCAAATCGCTTTCTCCGTCGGGAGTGTGTAGCCCTCCCGTGATTGCCTCTCTTGCCATGACATTGACAGTCGCGGATGCGGCGCCGACCGGCCGAACGCCCGCCGAACGCTTTTGCGCTAATTAAAGCCCGTCTTGCATGGGGAGCGAGTGTACGGACACACATGCACGCCTTTTAGAGCCCATTGCCCGCTCTCTATATACGACCGGGGCCCCCCGCGCTGCCGTCTGCTCCCGTACACCTTGCCCGCGGAACTGGCATTTCCATCGACCGCCTGGCAGAAATAAATACTTCGGGTAATGCGAATAAAGTCGCACTGCGTGTGTACGCCCGCTGTGGGTGTCGTGATACAAAATTAGTGCTATGGCGTGTTTCACTGTAAACTCTGCCGCCTAAGGGTATCCATCAACATGAAAGTGACCCCCCCCCCCCACTCTACCCCTGGAGAGTTTTTGGCACGGCCGCAAGCTCTGCGATTCCAGTCGGAGACACCTGTAACGCCTGGAGGTGCGGCGCACAGGTGAAGCTACCAGAGGGCTTTTACAGGGGAGATCTCAAAACGTCCGCGAAGCTCGCGGGAGGCTCCGAACTTGCCGCGCGGCTGCGGCCGGTCCTCCCCGCCCTTTGTTGTGTGGGGTACTTATTAGGATGACACTCATGCATACGCGATGCGCCCGCCGCCCGCCGGCCGGCTTAGCGATGCGTTCGCCCACAATTCATTCTCTGAATGGACGTAAATTTTTATGACTTGCCAGTCCGCTTCGTTTCTCTCTCTCTGTTTGTCTCTTTCTCTCTCGTTCTACTCTCCTCCGCCTTCAATCATGTCAGTCAGTCACACTCGCCGCTGGTGGGAACACACACACACACACACGCACGCACAGGCCGCGCCCACCGCGCGGTCTGTTGTTGTGATATTTCGTTTCGTTTAGGCGCCTCTTAATGGGAGTCTCTCTCTCCTCCCCCCACCCCCAATAACCCCCCCCCCTTCCTCCTTTTTTGCAAGCAGATCGGCCCTGTCCAATCAGCTGGTGCGTTGGTATGGGCCGACCCCAATCACGTCGCGCTTGTGAGTTTCGTACCCTCCACACACGCAAGTTAAAGTGAGCAACATTCAAAAGCGTCGCGATTCGCGTTTATAGCATGCAAGTCATCGTGGCGCATACCCCCCCAAGTTGTGTTG